CCGAACTCCCACGCGCCCCCGCTGGGGAAGTAGAGGGGCAGGCAACGCTGCTTGACCGCTGTGCAAAGCGGGGGCCAGGTCCGAGAGAGAGAGAGGGGAACGCATGATGTGAGCCATTCGCCTTCTCATCATTCGGTTTCTCAGCTTTCACCCTCCAACGATCCTTCGCCTGGCGCTGCCGCTGCCCGCGCTGGGCGCCATGCGCCCTCCTGCCTCGCGGCTGAAGGCAGGAGGGAGGCAGCTGTCACGCGGCCTCTCCTCCCTTCTTGGGACCTAGCCCGCGACCGCCTCCTCTGTCGCCTCTTATCTCCTTTGGTCGCTGACCGGCGTCGAAGTTCAGCTGGGGCTCTTTCAGCTCGCTGGTGACCCTGGTGCTCCACCTTCCCGCGGGCAGTCGCTTCCGCGATGAGCCAGTTTGGGGCGATGTCCAATCCGCTTCCCGGGGCCGCGACCGCTCGCAGCCTCGCGGCCCCTACCTTGTCGCGGGCCCTCTTCTCGTAGACGTGCGCCGAGAGGTGCCTGGGCGAAATCACCGCGCTGTCGCTCGTCGTCAGGCACAGCATCAGCTCCTTGTCGTTGGAGCACCGCCCAGCTCGAAGTCGAGAGCCGACGCTGCCGACCACGGCCCCTGCCGCTGATCTCCTCCGCGGGATCTCTGAAACTGTCGCTGCAGCCAAAGCCTCGCACTCGCACTGCCCACCGACCTTCTCTTCCTGTAGATCTCCACTCCAGCGCGCTTGAAGTCGGGCGGGAGCGCGCGGGCCCGCGCGCCCACCTCGGCGCCTCCCGCGGCGGCCGCTGGGCCGCCAAAGATCCCGTCGAAGCCGTTGATCACGCCGAGGCTCTCGAACCCAGTCAGCACCGTCTCCATCATCTTGGGATCTGGGGGCGACAGCACGCCTGCTCCGACGTAGGTAGCCCCTGGCCGCTATTACGGCGCACCCCTCTCAAGTTTCGCAGCCCCATAGGGGCATCCGCCTAAAGCCCCAGTGGCAGCGCCCACATGGCGGCCCCGTTCCATATCGGCAAACCCTTCGCACGCTTCATGGCCCAATGAGAGGGCCCCCCCAAGGCGATGCCCGCAGCGACGGTACTCGCAACTGCTTATGGTTGGCTCCTTCTCCAGGATACTTGTGAACCGGGTTAGAGACATTCATTCGACGTGTTTGTCAATGCGCGGCCCTGAGGAGGTCCTTTCCCCTTCCCCAGGGGTAGTTTGTCGCCCCAAATCAATGTTTGATGGTCCCGGGGCCCCGGTAACGGGCTTCAGGCGCGGAAAATTGCCGAACATTTGCCGTCGCGTGTTGTTCTCGACGCGAGGCGGTTTGGTTTGCAGGTCATACCTCGGATCTCTGGTGGCGCCGTTCGGGACTATTTGGGCACCCCTGGAACGGCCTCGGCGAGGCGCCGCTGCCAGAAGGCTTCCCAAGGCTGAGACACGGCCGAGAATCGACGAACAAAACAAAACTTCAAAGACCAAGGAACACCCGCCAGTTGAACAAAACGCGGCGCCGGAGTCCTGCACGCCTCGGGCGCGGCGGCCCTGAAAAGCAAAAGCTTCTACTCCCCTCCCTCCTCCTTCCTCCTCCCTCCCTTCCTCCCTCCCTCTTTTCTCCCTCCTTCTCCACTTCCTCCTCGTCCTCTGTTTCCGTATCTTCTCCTAATGAGTAACTCTTCCCTGTGCCACTCACTCCAGACGCGTCGGCAGGGTGGGCCGGGCGTTTCGCCTGAGACTTTCTCGCTTCTTTTCGATCCTGAAATGTGACATGTGCAACAGCTTCGAGGATGGGGAGTGCGGGCCGCTCTCAAAATGTAGCTGTCGCCTGCAAGCCGCGCGCGTTCGTTTATGGTGTTCGCAACATTTTCAAGAGTGGAGGGCGGGCCGTTTTCAAAATGTGTCTCTCGCATGAGCGCCGCGCACATTCCTCTTCAAATTCTGCAGCAGTTGTAAGGGTTCGCGTGGTTGAAGTCCCAGGAATTGGGGGTAGTGTTCGGGCACGATTTAGGATTGTCGGGACGCAACGGTCGCGTTGATTCGCGGTGTTGAAGTCCGAGGAATGGAGCGGTTTAAGGTTGTCAGGGCGCAGCAGTCGCGTTGATTTGCGGCGTTGATGTCCAAGGAGTTGTGTTTTGGCACGACTCAGGATTCTCAGACGGTTGTTTCCCAATGGGGTATTCGCCAGATTTGAAATAATTTCTTGTATGGGGCCGATGAAGGTGGAATTCTTGACGCTTCGCGTATGCCCACTTGCCTGCGACGGTTCGCTGGCGCTGTCAGAATCCCCTTCCTTGCTGGACGACGTCAACCAGTTTCGGTCTGCTCATACCCGTCAGACTCCCTGGACTGACTTTCTCGCACGGAGTTCGGTTCCCACCACCTCGCGGTTGTCTCGGCACGACCACGACTGGGAACGCACTGCGCGCCATTGTGGCCGCGCCTGGCTTGCTCCTGGGTGACTGACCCCTCAGACTCCCTGGGTTGCAGCTTGCACGACCGCCTCAGGTGACCGACCCCTCAGACTCCCTGGGTTGCAGTTTGCACGACCGCCTGGCCTCTCAGACGCCCTGGGTTGCTGCCCCCCCCGCCGCCTGATCCGCGGCCCCCGCGCGCGCCCGGGAATTTAGTCGCGGCCGCAGCCCGACCGTGACTGCTCGCCGCCGGCGATTCCGTCTGCGGCTGTAAAAAAAAGTATGCCCACTTGCACCTTTTGCTCGACCGACGACGTTCCCCCATCTGGTCCACCCCTGCCCCCGGTTGACGCTCGCCGCTTGGTTCCCCCGTCCACCGTGATGGAGAAGCTGCATGCGTTGTTCGCCGACGACTTGGTCCACCTTTCTCGGCGGGAGCCACCTTCGTGCTCCAGATACTGCACGAGTGGTTCATCCTTTGTCAGTGCTCCAGCCCTCCTGCGGGTGGTTCCATGGCGCTCGGCCACACCTGCTGCCGTTCCCCCGACACTCTGGGTCAGGCAGTCAAGGTTCGGGCTCCGCGATTGGGTCGACGTCTCCGTGCATTGGTCGGTGGCACATGTCCGATCGCGCCCAGGAGTCCAAGTGAGTGAGGCTTTCCCGTCTCCCCCTCTTCTGCCCGCGCGTTCCTTGCTCTCTCGCCTCCGCGTCGTGGTGAGCGGTGAGGCCTCACGTGCCCACTGCGCTGCCATTGAGCTGCTTGGCCCTAGCCAGTGCTCTCTGGACTGTACGGTTCGAGCTGGTGCCACTGCGCGACTTCTCCTCCGTCTGCTTCAGTCTGGTGCTTGCGTCCCCGTTCCTGGGCCGCTCGCATCTTAATGGGGGGCATTTTGCCTCTTGCAGGTGCACTTGTTGCGTCGGCCTATGCGCCGTCGTAACCAATTATCTCGCCCTGTGTCCCAGCCGCGCCCGCCCCTTGGAGCCGACAATCAAAAAAGTATGCCCACTTGCCCATCCGGAAACGATCAGCAGGGGAGCCGGTGAATCAGGGGCGGCAGGACGCATGCAGTTGCGCAGCCGTCTTCGGGAAAACAAGGATCACAAAGAGCTTCCCGCATTGAAGTGTATTGTGGAAATCGGTGCAAGCTACGATGGTGCTTCGATGAGGGGCGAGGGGTGTTTCGATGACTCGTCATGGCTGTTGCACTGATTTGTGCACTAAATTCGCGTGCGTTTCGAAACTTGGAGCCATCTTGGGCTTTCTTGGGGTTCTTGGGGGGCCCTCTTGGGGCCCCCCTGGAGCTCTTTCTTGGGGATCTCTTGAGGTCATGTTGGGGCCTTTTTGGAGCCCTCTTGGGGCTCTTTTGGGCCGTCTTGGGGCCCTTTTGGGGCTCTTTTGGGGTGTCTGGGTGCCTTCTTGGGGCTCTTTTGGGATGCCTGAGGAGCCTCTTGGGGCCGTCTTGGACCCTTTCGCTAAAAAAGAGGAGGGTTCTAAATCCCATCGCCCCCTCGGAGGCTTAAAAATGCCGTATTGGGGCCCTCTTGGGCCGCTCTTGAAGCGTTTTTGGGCGCTCTTGGGGCCGTCAGGGGGCCCTCTTGGGCCCCATCGGGGGACTATCTTGGGCCGTTTTGGGGCCATCTTGAGGCTTCAAGAGCCCATCGGAGGCGAAAAAGCGAGAAAACACAAAACATTGATTTCCTGAGGTTTTTGAAGGATGTTGGCCTCTTGGGGGAGCCCTCGGACGGTTCGGAGGGCACTTGAAACCGTCTTGGGGCCGTCTTGAGGCCTCTTGGATGCATGTCGGAGGCTATCTTGAGCCATCTACCACTATCTTGGGCCATCTTGGAGGCCATCTCGCACTCATTGAAGCCCTCTTGGGCCGAAAGGGCCCTCTGACACCTCGCGGGGGAGCCCGTCCAGACGCAGGGAGGGGGGGGAGGTAAACCTCCCGAGCAGGGAGGGGAAGGAGGTTGGAAAAGGAAACGCTCTAGACCACCTGCCCCCAGAGGTCTGGTGGGATTTAGAGGGTTGATTGCAGCATCGTCAATGGATCTTGGGTTTGCACTGGTCCTCCTCCTCCTCCTCATCCTCCTCCTCATCCTCCTCTTCCTCCTCCTCCTCCTCCTCCTCCTCCTCCTCCTCCTCCCTCTCCTCTTCCTTCTTCTCCTCCTCTTTCCTCCTTCCCTCGCAGGATACAAGAGGAAATGCATAACAATAGAGTTCCGGACATCCGGGCGCGTTTCTTGGGTCTGGTGCTGGCCCTCCCTTGGTGCCGTCCCTGGCGCGCTCCGCGCGCCGGGAAAGGGGTCCAGCACCGACCCAAGAAGTCCGCGCGGACCTCCGACAATTTATGCTCATGCTGCTTTCTGATGTATTCATTTTTGCACAGATCGGTCTCGAGCCCTCCCCCAGGACCGGTGTTACATCCCGACCCGCTTCTTCCGACGGCCTCAGGGCCCAACCCCTGGAGGCCAAAAATGGCAAGGGCATGCCTACGCGCCGAAATACTTTCACGACGCGAGGGGATCTGGGAGGAGAGGGGAGCAGAACAGATGAAGGGAAAGCGACGCGCCACGGGGGCGCGCGCCAGGCCACAGATCCGCGGATCGTTGACCCCATCGACCCGGCCCACTGGCCCCGGCGCTAGGGGGCCGGCAGAGAGGGATTGACGGGACGGTTTAGCTATTCTCGACGCTACCTCAGAAGGGAGCATGGATGGCTGGATGGATGGATGGATGGATGGATGGATGGATGGATGGATAGGATAGATGGATGGATGGATGGATGGATGGATTGATGGATAGGATGGATGGATGGATGGATAGGATGGATGGATGGATAGATGGATGGCTGGCTGGCTGGCTGGCTGGCTGGCTGGCTGGATGGATGGATGGATGGATGGATGGATGATGATGAGGAGGAGGAGGAGGGGAGGAGGATGAGGAGGAGGATGAGGATTATGATGACGATGAGGATGATGATGATGATCATGATCATGATCATGATGATGGTATTGGGTATTGGCGATGATGATGGTGAGATGGCGGTATGGTGATGATGGTGATATCCATGGTGGTGGCGGTGGTGGTGCGATGAGCATGACGATGACGATGGTGGTGATGATTGCACTACTTGTAGATTTGGGTCTAGAGGCTTTGTTGAGGTGCCACTTGTCCGTAATGATTACGGCTCAAGTCACGCTGCTTTGAGGAGCCCGTCCTCGATGCACTCAGGCGTCGCCTGGCTCGCCTCCAGTTCAGTTTCCATCGCTGGCGAGCCCAGCTGTCGCCGCGCCATAGGCTCGGCGGCCTATTCGTGCTTGACGGGCGTCGACCCCACTCAGTTCTTCACGTCGGCCGCCTTCGGCCTGGGGGTAGTCACAGGAGTTGCGAGTGTGTACTTCGTGAAGGTCGTTTCGCGCTGTGCGCGCTGCAGGGTGCGCGTGGTGTCTGGAGAACATCGGTTGGATGCTCGGCTTGATGGCGGCGATCACCCTCGAGGCAGGTCGGAAGGTCAGCCTGTTTTATCAGCCGGAGCCGCTCCCGGCGCCACCGCCGAAGTGGCACGAGCGGGTCCTCCTCGAGCCCGGCTCGGAGACGGCGATGCAGAAGTGCACGGGCGAGTCCCTGTACAATGGGGGCATGGTCTGGTGGGTGCTCACCCCGGACGGGGACGTGTACCCGGAGGAGTTGGCGGCGCCGCCACTGGAGGGTATCGCGTACTACGACGACGCGGAGGTGCCCCATCTTCAGTTGCAAGTACGTCCGCTTCCTCCTCCAGTGGCGGCCAACACCCACGGGTTCCGTGCCGACCGCTCAGCGGGGCCTCCTACCCCGCTATTGGTGATGAGGGCGATCTCTGACGCTAGGGTGGAGCAACATGCGCTGGACCCAGAGGCAGGTGCTGTTCGTGAGGGTCCCCCTCCAGCGCCAGCAGCTGGACGAGTCATCTGGGTGATCGGGTCCTCGGCCGACGGTGACCCGGAGGCGGAGAAGGAGTACACCCACGTCCCAGGCGACATCACGATCGGCCTGGGGGCCTACTGGTTGGTCAAGCGAGGAGCCAAGTGTTTGATACTGCAGGAGGTATTGCGTCAAGACACGGGTATGATCAAACTGCTCCGAGATCAGGAGACCGACGCGAGAGTCATCCCAGTGAAGTGGAGGTCGGCCCAACAGCGTGGCCGCAACTTCCGCGAGGCCGTCTCGCTCCAGGAGTTCCACGACTTCGGCGACTCGCCGTTGCAGGGTGAGGTGAGCCTTCCTTGGCTGCTCACCGAAGTGGCCCAGTCCTCCGAGGGGATGGTGACGCGCCACCACACATGGCTGTCAGCCAGCGGCATCCCGAGCGGCGACCGCAGCATTCACGAGCATTTCGTGATTTCCAAGGTCTTCGATCTCGCGATCGAGCTGGATCAATTGAACACGATGACTTTGACTTCCTTTGAGCTGCTAGGGCGGCGCCTGCAGCTCATCGAGCAGGCCCACGTGTACAACCCCAGCAACCCCGACTACAGCAATTCGGACGACTTCATGGGCTGGGGCGTCCAGCGTGGCGCCGCCCTGGTGGCGCCGTCTATCAAGAGGCGGGCCGCCGACGCAGCACGAGATCGGGCAGCGGTCCTGAAGGAGGGTCGCAAGCTCGAGGAGGAGATCCGCCTCCGGAAGCCGAAGGGTCGTGGCCGTGGTGGTAAGGGCGGCGGAGAAGGAGACGGGGGCGCCGGCGGCTCCGGCGCAGGGGGGTCATGACCAGCTCGCAGGACCCAGTCGCCCCCTTGGAGACCCCGGCGGCTGGGTTCAAGTATGAGAAGGGGTCTCGCCTACCTGTACAAGTTCCCCGTGACCTCTTCCCTCTTCCTGAGATCGAGGTCGAACATCTTCAAGATCACAGCGTGAGTCGCTCGGTGCAGCGACGAGTTTTGAAGCGGAGTGCTGTGGACGCCGAGGTCAATCGTACGATCAAGGCCCTCAATGCTCTCGATGGCCATTTGACGCCATCATCTTCCCCGCCCTCGCTGTGTCAGCGAGAGGCCATCCAATTCATTCGTTCAGTGCACGACGCAGCCGAGCCGCCGCAAGGTGACTACGGCTCCGAGGGAGCCGTCCGCGCGCTCCTCGGGACAGACTCCGCGTACGGTGGCGAGTCGACCTTGGTGCAGTCCTACGACCGGAACCTTCTCAGCATCCCACACGTGGGGGCGGAGCCCGTCCCCGTCAAGGAGATGCTGCCGCCGAAGGTTCGCTGTTGTCTCGAGGACCTGAACAACATTCTGCTCGATGATCAAGAGTGGGGCGCCGTGTGTGAACGGGCGGATCCCATCAAGCTCTACATGGATCCGAAGCTTCGCTACTCCAAGAAGGCCTATTTTCAATTTGTCCGAGACTGTCACTCGGCCGGCCTTATCCGCTGGGCGCCTCTGGTACGTGGGAGAGTCACGGTTTTCTGTGTGGCCAAGAAGACGGGCAAGCAGAGGCTCGTGGTGGACTGCCGTGCCACCAACAGGCGCTTCCGGCGGTGCCCTTACTTGCCTATGGGTACCGGGTCGAGCTGGGGAGAGATTCTCCTGGAGGACGACGCAGACCTCTGGGTGAGCCTGTCGGACATCAAGGACTACTTCTACGCCTGCGGCATCGACGATGACCTCTCCAGCTACTTTTGCCTCGACGACGTCCCAGGTTGGCTCGTCTCCGAGCTGGAGGGTAACGACAGCCGCTTCAGCCAGTTTTACGGGCGCGACGCCGTTGCGCCCGCCTTCCGAGTGCTCCCCATGGGATTCAGCTGGAGCTTCTATCTGGCACAGATCGTCCACTCCTCCGTCGTCAAGGGGGTGCTCCCAGACACGGCTGGATTGGTACTTCAGGATCGCCGGCCTGGCCCGACGATCGGCGCCCGCGGCCTCGTGTCTTTGCTTTGCCTTACTGCGACAACCACGCCACCGGGGCGGGCTCCCCGGAGCTTGCCGACGGCGCCCGCATCGCAGTGGCTCGCCAGCTCACGGCCGACGGCTTCGCTGTACACGAGGAGGAGGACGCCTCCCTCTGGGCCGAGAGCCTCGGCTTCGCCATCGACGGCTTGACTGGCGAGGTGGGGCCCACCGCCAAGAGGGCGACCCGCCTGGCCGCCGCGGGCCGATGGCTTGCGCGCCGCCCCAGGATCACAGGCGTGATGCTTGAGCGCTTCCTGGGGCATTGCACTTTTCAGCTCATGGGTGAGCGCTCGCTGCTGAGCATCTTTGGTGCGTGCTATCGCTTTGTCAGGGTGCATTATAAGCAGAAGGTCCGCTTGTGGCAGTCAGCCGCGCGGGAGTGCGAGTGGCTGTCAGCTCTAGTCCGTTTTGCTCGCACCAACCTGCGTCGGCCGTGGAGCCCCACGGCCCACATGTTCGACTCGTCGGAGACAGGCCTTGGGATCGTCCAGGGCGTTTTCGACGAGAAGCTCATCGCCGGTACTGGCCAGTACAACGAGCGGTGGCGTTTCAAGCAGCCTCATGCGCTCGCGAGGGGCGTGCGTGCGGGAGCTCTCTGGCACTTCCGAGATGTGATCGAAAATGTTGAAACAGTACTCCCTATCGCACCGCCGACCCCTCGTCCCTGGAAGAGAAGGCGCGGGTTCCCGGAGGTCCCCACAAAGATGCTCGAGAAGGACTCCTGGCACACCATCCTGTCAAAGCCCTGGTTTCGGGACGAGCACATCACCCTGCTGGAGGCCCGTACTGGGAGATTGGTTTGCAAGTCTCTTGGGAGGTCCGTTGGGAACCGCAACAAGAAGCACCTCATCCTCGGGGACTCCATGGGCTCCATCCTGGCCTTCTCCAAGGGGCGCAGTGGGGATTATCGTATGCTGGGTTGTTGTAGAAGTGTTGCGGCTTACACGGTCGCCCTCAATTGCAAGTTCAAATGGCGTTGGATCGTGTCTGAAGTTAATCATGCTGATGCGCCTTCTCGGATGTTCGAACCCTCAGTCCCGCGGCGGACACACCACGGACGTAAATCTTTCCCTTCCTCTTCTTCTACCTGTAACCACTTGGCTCGCAGTGGGGAGTTCCCCACGATCGATGCTCCGAGCACCGACTCGGACGCCAGCTCCAACGAGGGCAACACAAGTGCATGTGCTGAGGCCCGCGGGGCCCGCGTCCCATCGCAGGCGGCTCCCAGCGCCACCGGAGGGCGTGTTGTCCGTCGTTACAGTATCGACGAGCTCATCGAGATCGGCCGCGCCGCCGGTGGCAGGTCTGCTTCAGCCGCCGAGGGACCACCCGTCGGCGCAGCGGAGTCGCCGTCTGCGGGAGGACCGTGCCAAGGTTCGGAGGGCGAGACACGCTGTCCCAGCGGGGGGTGTGACTCCCGGGCCGCTCCTGCTCAAGAGGGATCCTCACCAGCTCAGTATCTTGGGGCAGGCGTCGGTTCAGCCCCAGCAGGCAGCCACATACAGGGCGACCTACGCCGAGTTCGCCAAGTGGGCCGCGAACGAGGGCATCTCCTTGCACTCGGACGAGGACGTGGACGCGGCGGCGGTCGACTACCTGGACGCGATCTACCTGCAGGGCTACGAGGCGTCGTCGGGGGACAAGCTCCTCGGGGCCCTCAAGTTCATGAGGAGCGGAGGCCCTCGCCCTCTATCCCTGCCGCTGACGCGGATGA